CCACGGCTAAAGCTAAACCTCACTTTCTTCTTAGTTTGGGTAAGTTCTCTCGAGTTCCTGTAGTTTCTTCAAGAATCCACATTTTTCTTTTAAAAACTGTACTTTTGTTAAACTGTTAGCCTCAAACAGAAACCTGCCTGACTGGGCCACACATGCTTCAGGGGCACACATATGGAGGGTGGTGCTGCCTGCATCCCACACCGCGGAACATGCTGGAGCTTCTCCTGCGCACAGCTCCCATCCCCAGAGTCAGCCGCCACGTTCCCCCGGGCGCGGGGGTCACAGCACTGTCAGCGGTGGTCTCTCCTCCAGCAGTACAGAGCAGAGGAGGTCCTGCCCCATAATTACATGCTGGGTGTCCTGAGAGAGCGCTCCTGCCTCAAGAATCCCCGTCCCCTCTCCGTGAGGCGGAGGTGCTCAGGGCAGCGAGGACACTCTGCTGCCGTGATGAGTACATGCGTGATGGACAGCAGCCCCTGAGCATGCCATCAGGTCAACAGTGTTTAATATGTGCATCCTGTTCTTTTGTTGGTAAAGATTTTATTTATTTTAGAGAGAGAGAGATAGCGACACAGATAGTGAAAGACCATGCGCAGAGGGAGAAGCAGGCTCCCCACTGAGCAAAGAGCCCGACACAGGACTCGATCCCAGGACCCTGGGACCACGACCTGAGCCAAAGGCAGACGCTTCACCGACTGAGCCACCCAGGCGTCCTGTGCACCCTGTTTCCCTCCACTTTGCTCCTGGATGACGGAGGCACTGTTCTCCAACCCCTTCACTCAATCAAGGCTGCTGAGTATCCACACTGTGCAGAGCCGAGTGAGCTCCGCTTCCAGTTCTGGAAGCCAACTCCCAACACGTGGGGTACCATGTCTCTCTTCCATAATAAACACACATTGTTTTTATAATCAGAGGGAAAAGTCTTGTTACTTCAGAAAAATGACAATGATTCACAAATGAGTTCCTTAAATGTCTCTCAAGTCCCCTATAGCCCAGACACCTGGCTCAGGTGGCTGTATGATCCAGGGGCATTTCTCACTCCCCTCAAACTCAACATCTCTCCCCACCTGAGCCGATGAAGTGGCTTCCACAGGACTCCGGCTCAGCCACTGTGTCGGCGCCCCAAGTCCCCAGCCGGGAAGGAGAAGGACGGCCTCCAGGAAGGGGTAACAGGTGTAACACATCCATAACCCCGTTACTCCACTTCTTCAAGAAACAAAGGAATGGGATGCTAACCGGGCGTCACAGTAATAAGAGTGGTTCTGTGTGAGGGGTGGGGAAAACGGTTGCATGGTTTCTCGTTTATGATGCAACTATTTTACAGTTACAGATTTGAAAACAAGGAAAAGAAAACAAAAAGAAGGAAAGGCTTGTTTACACAGAAGAAGTTACGGGGGGGGGGGGCGGTTAAGAAATCAGAATTAACCCAAACTAAATAGCATTTTGGCTTTTTTCTTCTATAATACAGACTTTTCTACCATGAAACATCATTCTTGTATGAATTATTCCACGTCTCAATCGAAGATGGTGCACAAATAAAAGACAGGACTAGTGCTTTCTATCTGACGTCAGACTGCATAAGGACTGACTGCATGTAAAGAGAACCAGTATCAGATGGCGCCATTCACAAGCAGAACGGCCCAGCAGTGGGACTAGACCAACAGTGGGGAGGGCCGTCTGCGCCCTTCCCCACTCACAGTACGAGTTTCCATGTGAAGGCTGGAGTCATTCCTGCAAATCACATACACGTATGGGTTTGTTCTCACACTGCCGAGCGTCATGAGGGTGGTCAAGGTCAAACTCAACTGTGAGGAAATCTCCCGGGGCAAACTGGGATTGACAGAAAAGTATGTTGAAGAACGTTTCGACTCCTTATTGTGACGATGTGGCTGTAAAGAAGTTTTCACATTAAGTTTCAAGTTCTGTTTTCTTGTAGGATGTAGTTTCTGGTGGGGTGGAATGACCAAGCACCGAGTGGTGAAGAAGGCCCTTCACAGAAGCAGCCCTCGACGTGCAAGCTTTGTGACCGTCACACCTACCAGCACGCACGCACCTCCTTCCTTGCCAGCCGCCCAGGGGCGTGGGCAGCAGACGCTGACCGCAGGTGAGGCAGGAAACGCAGTATTATCCAACTCTGACCAGTGGGGATCTGGCGACCGGGAAGTTAAATGACTTGCTTCAATGTCATAGGGGCACGCTCCCCAAGGCACCATTTCTCAAGTTGGGTGGGCCCCCTCAAAGAAGAGGCCCATCAGGACCATCCCAAGATCCTGAACCGGCTCTGTCACAGTTAAGTCACATGCCATTGTCAGTGTGTCTGTCAACGGGACATGAAGAGATGACATCTATCCGGGAACTACTAAAAATCAGACACATATATGTGATCCTCTTAAGAATCCTGCAGAGAAGGCATTATTATCCCCATCCACAAAATGAACGATCAGCCTAATAAGGTCAGGCCTCAGGACGAATCTGAAGTCCACGGGCGGTCTCACACTAAGCCAGGGGAGTCCTTTATCAGGTCTCAGCAGGCCGTGTGTCCCCCCCAAGAATCCACATTTTTCTTTTTAATCCGGAGCCCACCTCTTTCTGGTCCACTTGGAAACAACACATACTTCCATGGCCCATGGGGCTGTCTGGAAAGTCTCTTCTTCTGCCCCACACCTGGGGGAGCACTAGGAACCTGCCTTAATATGCCCAACCACGCAAGGATTCCGTGTTTAAGCAACGGTAACACTGGCGAAGTGAACTCAAGAGGAAGTGAAAGTGGGCATGGTTTACTTTACATGGGCTGAAATTAAAACCTGAGTGTCTCACAGGCGATTTGGAAGCCTCCTTCCCTGAACCTGGGGTCAAAGTCAAGGCGTGCGGGAGGAAGGTGGAGGAAAGGCGTGAAAACAGAAGACAGAGTGGGCTGTGAGCATCCTGGGGGGCGGCCAGGCGAGCGCCGGCCCCAGGGACACGGAGCGCCAGAGCGCCATCCAGGGGCCTTTGCAGAGAAGTAACAGGAGCTCCGCGTGTGGGGAGACGCCAGGACCGAGCCTTGGCAGACCGCGGAGAAACGCTGTGCGAAGAAGGACTTCCCTTCCTTGACACTTCCAGCCTCTGTGTAAGGGGACCAGGGAAGGCGAGGCAATGGGTTGGTCTGATGGGGGCCAGGCCCACCATCTCTCCATCCCGGCCGGCGCTCGCGGAGGGGGTGGGCAGGGTGGCACGCAGGAAGGCTGGGGTCCAGGAGATGCCGCAGAGCCAAGACCACCAAGATAGAGGCCTCGGTGCATGGTGAAGGCAAGGGTCCAGCAGTGTGGTCTTGAAACGCGGGCTCAGGACTCTACGGTGCACTCACACCCAGGCCTTGAGGGGCTACTCCTCTCAATAAGGCCGAGCGGCCTGCACAGGACAAACGGTGCCCAGGCTGTGAGCTAACATCCTGGAGGACACTAGATGGGGGCAGGGGGAAGTGTTTTACAGAAAAAGAAAAAAAAAATGTTTCCATGGCCATCTAGATTTGGAAAACGTTGCTTAAAGCGTGCTACTTAGAAAGATTGCATATGGAATGAAAAACATAATCACAGCTGATGTTCTTTTGCTAATAAAAAAAAAAAGGAAAAGGCGCTGGGGAGACAAGGTGACTGACAGGCCTCGGCCATGAGAAGCCTGGGCCGAGGCGAAGGTGTGACCTGCCCGCCGTCCCGGGGCTACCAGCAGCCTGACCACACCAGGCAGGGAACGTGTGGCCGCAGCTCAAGCTCAGAGCTTTTCCCCACAGATCCTCCTATGGATCAGGTCTGGGGTTACATCTCAAACGAGCAGTTGGCACCTTTGGGAAGAACACACCCTCTGGAGCTCAAGACAGAAAAGAACCCCACTTCTCTGCCTCTTCAGGAGCATCAAGCTGATGCCCGATTCACTTCCACGACGGACAGCCCATTTCACCCCAGGAGCAGAGCACAGGGGTCAGAGGATCTGATGGCCCACACTGCTCCCCCCAGAGCCCCCCAGTGTGGTGGGGCCTCCAAACAGCCCTTCGGGTGAGCCCGAGCCCCCCAGGCCGAGCGTGCTGACTTACCTGTGCTGGGCATGTGGTTCACGCGGGCAGGGTTCAGCAGCTCCACGGGCTGGTCTCGGCCAGAAAGTCCATCTGGAGGACAGAAAGCACCAGGCTTCAGAAAGGGCTCTCATTTCAATGCAAATACTTCACACTCAGAGTCTGTAAGGAGACTCCTCGCGAACAATGGAAATGCGTGTCCTTCTTTTAAAGGAGAACAGGTTTGGTGCCATCACACATTATTTTTATTTGCTGAATCAGAAAATGAAAAGCCCCTTGTAGAACAACCAAAATAGTCCCCGAGCGAAAGATGGCCAACAGCAACTCTGGGCCGACGACATCTATCTGGCTTGGCCGTTCGGGCTCACTTCTGTTTAGCGGCCACGTTATACCTATTGTGTTTGTCAGAGTGGCTTTTCTGCAGAGGCCACAAGCAGTAAGAGGATCAAAAAACAAGAGCCACTCCTCCTCTTCCCAGATGCTGACAGACGGCCTGGGGTGTTAACAGGAACAGCCCTGGGAGGCCCAGCCGAAAACAGCTGCGGGGGTGCCTGGGGGGGGCGCTCAAAGGAAACGAAGACACCCAAACACACTCTCAGAAGAATACTTGGCCAGGTACTCACAATGTAAAGAATCATTTCTTTAAATGCACTTTCTGCCTGGATTCGGGCCCTGTTTCTATCTCTCCAGGCTGAGTGCAAAGATGGAGCTGGAAGCCGGCCACCACCTAAACCCGGAGCAGGCTGCTTTTAGACTGCCTGAGATTTTCCATTTTCTCTCAGATAGAAAAGAAAGAAAACTCTGGCAAAACTTCCAGGAATCACACTTTTGGTTTAAAATTAGCTCCTGACAAGTGGTGTAAACCGGCCTGCAGTGACAGGCGCGTCATGAGGACGCTGACGTGGCGGTCACTCTCGTGACTGACTGAAGGAGAAAGCGCCGGTTTCACAGAGTGGCCACGAGCTCCCTGAGGCCGAATTTCAAATCACCACAAAGCAAATAACATCAGATCTACGGACTGCACTAGAACCTCACTTTTCACCCCAAATGGGTAACCCCTTGCACACCTGTCACATGTAGTGTTACACAACCCCCGTGCGTCTCTGAAAGTGTTCACAATCCAAGGACAAAAAGCATCACCCGGAGGAGATCCAAACGTGAGCTCTTGAGATCTGAAGACCCCCAAGGAAGTGAGGGAAAGGCGTGGGAGGCCTTCTCAGGGGAATCCACCACGGGGCATCTGAGACTCGTCTCCCCAAACCAGTCACGCATCCCAGCAGTTACTAGCCATCGCCAGGCACCTCTGGGGCTGAGACAGTCCAGGCTGCCTGAGTGAGGAGGACCGGCCGGCCGGGTAACACCCTGGAAGCGAACACCAGGCCCAAACACTCACCCTGACTGCGTGCACGAGGGCTTCTGCCACGGACCAGGACCACCCCCGACAGCCCAGGTGCCGACCTGTAAGCCTATCACTATGCCGCATGAGCACCTGCACTGCCATTCAGAGAGAGACCTGGAGACTAATAGAAAAGCACTTTGGAACCTTTTTTCCTGAAAATAAGTAAGTGAAATTCATTTTGTTTATAAATAAAGTTAAAATTTCATTTTCAAAAATACAAGATTCATAAAAGTATATTTTCTAAAAAATCTGAATCCCACTGTAAATACTTTCAGAAGGCCCCTCTGAAAATCCTAATCTAGCTGCTATTTTTCAGTGGGCAAGGGTCAGGAGCAAGGTGTTCGGAAAACCATCCCATTCGGGGCTCTGCAACTAGGTTCAGAAGAGGACCTCAGCTTCCAGCTGAGTGAAGGCTCCAGAACAAGAAACAGTTTAGAAACCAAGAAGCCAGCAAGGTTTCCTGAGGAAACTCCGAATTCCGGGAGCAGTTAGTGGCCGCGCCAGGCCAGCATCCTAGCTTATATAAAGACCTTTCCTCGAGTTTGGGATTGAGCTGTGTATGTCTGGCCCAAGCCCCAAAGGTCTAATTACTCCAAAACCAAAGGCATAAATGATGCATCATAACACGTTACTTTTATCCACACTAAAGTGGGAAGATGCATCAAATCTCAGTGCAATCAATTCAGAGTATAAGTTAAAAAGATGTGTGGTTATGTGTACGCAAAAGTATCGCCCGTGTGTTTTATTTATTTATTTTTTAAGATTTTATTTATTTGAGAGAGAGAGAATGAGAGAGAGCACATGAGAGTGGGGAGGGTCAGAAGGAGAAGCAGACTCCCTGCCGAGCAGGGAGCCCGATGCGGGGCTCGATCCTGGGACTCCAGGATCACGACCTGAGCCAAAGGCAGTCGCTTAACCAACTGAGCCACCCAGGCGCCCGCGCCCGTGTGTTTTAAATCAAGGTATGGCTTTGCTGAGTCGGCTCCTGCACAGAATGTCTGGACGCTGGACTGGGGTAGCCTTACTGAATGGCCAGCACACAGGTACGTGCTTGCTGACCCACCAGAACACGCTGCCGTGTGATGGGGGCACACTTTGTTCTGCGGGCTGGAAACGCTGGGGCCTGGGGCCTGAAGCGTGGAGGGGGGCACGGCCTATGGCTATGAGGCGCATCCATGTCTTTCTTCCCCCCCTCCCCTGAATTCACAGGGTCTTCTGTGGAACCCACTGAGAAGGTCAAGCAGGCACCGGACACATGGGCCAGGAGAACCCGGGAGAGGTCGTGAGGCACACAGAGGAGCCCCGCACGGCTGCCACCCCAGGACAGGGGAGCCCCCCGCTGCCCCGCCCCAAAGAGCTCAGCCAGCCCGCGCTTGCGCAATGTGGAGACTGAAGCAATTTCTGTGACAACTGCCACATCATCCATAACACAGAAAACCAAAACCTCACTAAATGAAAAGGTCAACACCTTCCCTGATATATATAATTAAAGAGGATCTGCACTTTAATGCTGCACAAAAATGTATGTTTCTTGCACCAATAAAGATACTACATGAAAAATCCACACACAGGTTACCTAACCAAATGGGGAGGAGAGTGTGAGGGCAGGAGTGGGGGCAGGGAGGGGGGAGGGCAGGGAGGGCAGGAAAGAGGAAGGGAGGGCAGGAGGGAGGCGGGGAGGAAGGAAGGGGAGGGGAGAGGAAGAGAGGTCAGAGGAGGGAGAAGAGAGAAGAGAGAGGAGGAGGGCAGGGGAGAGAAGGGAAGGGAAAAGGGGAGGAGGGGAGGGAAGGGGAGAGAACAGGGGAAGGGAGGGGAGGACTTGCATACAGGACTGGGAGAGCCTCCTGTCCCCGCCTCACACACTACAGTCCTACCTGGTGGGGACCAGAGAGCAGCTCATTAAGGTGAAATCTGCCCTTCCCTGAGGGTCTGTGACACTGAGCATCTCCCCCCACCCTCCGCCCACGCACTTACTGACTGTTCTTAATTCAAGTCTTGGGCCCCTTTTTAAAAAATTAGGTTGTCTTTTTTCTCCTGATTCAGGGGAATTCTTTACAAATTCTGACCATGGATTCTCTGGCAGTTACATGGGACAGACACCATCTCAGAGACGGCCTTTCTTGACGGTCCCATCCATCAATCCTTTTATAGCTTCTGCTTCTCATGTCAGGTTGAAGAAAGTCTTCCCTACCTGGAGGCTGCAAAGATATTTTACCGTACTGTCACCTGCAGGTCCTGTGGCCTTGCCCTTCACGTGTCTCTCATCTCATCTCTCTGCTCTTGACTCTTGTACACGGTGTGAGGTGGGGGTCTTTGGTTTTTTCAATGAGAACAGCCAAAGGTCTCATCAATGTTAGTAAGACATCTTACTTTCACTGCTGGTCAGCACACGAGTTCTGTCAGACATCAAATCTCTGTCCTATTGGCCAATTTGTTTATACCTGTGCAAATAATCATACTGTCTAACTGGTATCATTTTACAATAACTCTTAATATCTAGCAAGGCAAGAGTCCCTATTTTCTTCTTCAGAACCATCTTGGGTGATGTGGGTCCTTTACCATATAAGTTCTAGAATCAGCTTGTCTTCCAAAAGACAGAAAGACAAAAGGAGAAAGAAAAAGAAAAAGAGAGAAGGGGAGGGGAAGAGTGGGAGGGGAGGGGAGGGGGCTAACTAACTCTCTGGGACCATGTAGGTACCTAGAATTGGGAGAACAGAATCTTAGCAAGATTACACCTTCTAATCCGTGAACATGGAATATCACTTCACTTCATTTCTATCAAAGATGTTTTAGAATTCTGAGTGCAGAGGTATTAAACATCTTTAGATTTATTCCTAGATGTTTGGTATTTTAAGTAACATATTCTACACAGTACTGTAGATTTAAATCACCGCATGTGGGTTTTTCATCCCAGCACCTCGCCGAACTCATTCATTCGATCCTTTATCTGAAGTGGATTTTCCACCTGCAGGATCGTGTGTCTATGACAGTGACAGTTTGGTTCTCCTTTTCTTTCTTTTTCTTGCCTTATCCTGTTGGCTAGGACAGATGCTACATCTGCACAGAAACACTGAGAGACACCTGGCGCTGTTTCTGATCTCACCCCTTCCTCCTCCTTGTGTTTCCCTGTGTGTGAGTGCAAGCCTCCCAAACCAAGGGCTCTCGGCGACCCAAGTATGAATGCCAGGAAACTCTCATAAAGGTAAAATAATGTGATAAAATACATCCTAAACTGTGCTTAGGGTGGCTCATCTGGTGTAGGTGGGAGAGCACCATGGCAGGGCGGGCTGAGGGGGCACTGTGCCACCTCCCAGCTCCTGGACGGCAGTGGCCCCTCATCTTCGGGCACAGCTGGTTTTCAGACACTCGGTAGTGGGGTCCGAGGCCTCTGGCAGCAGTAATAATGCCAAGTCTTCATTCCAGCCAATTTTCCTACCCATTTTTATTTTTTCATACAAACTTATTTTAGAACAGTTGTGGATTTACAGAAAAATTAAAAATAGCAGAGTGTTCTCATATACCCGCTTCCCCCACGATGGACATCTTCGACGAGGATGGCGTGTCTAGATCTGGTTAACTGAAGCCCCCCGTGTATTCCGGGTTCCAGCGCCCCACCCAGGATCTCACATGACCCCGAGGTGTCCCATCTCCTTAGGCTCCTGCCCTTGTTCTTAATGACAGTGACAACGTGAGGGAGTGCAGGTCAGGCACTCTGCTGAATGTCCCTGGGCTGGGACTTGTCGGATGCTCTCCTCATGACTGGACTGGGCTGCATGTTCCTATCATGTGACATCGCACACTACCAACGGGACCCATCGCCGGGGTCGTTGGCGTCGGTCCCCTGGCCGGCGTGTGTCTGTCAGGCCTCCCCACTGTAAAGGTGCTTGTTTGATTTCCTGTCTACACAACGTTCTCTTAAATGAAGCCACTCTCTGTAGCCCGCACTGCCAACAATGGTATCAGCTACCCTTCCACATCCACTTCCCAGGATCCAGGTGAGGGACACGCTCCCAGGGACGCGGCACGGAGCACCAGACACGGAAGGCAGCCCAGCCTCTGGGTCCCCACGGAGAAGGCAGGAGCGAGGTGCGCGGGGCCGGGCACCACCAGCTTGGTTCAAAGCCCGTTCTGCCTATACCCAAGGCGTGACCCCGCGCTCCTCCATCTCATTTCTCAGACCCGGGGCGCATCCCTGAGGCAGGAACAGCAACAGGCCCACCCTGGAGATGTGCTGAGAATTAATTCTGTGTCTCAGGGGCCACCCTGGGCCTGGTGAGCAGTCATCAGATTTTCTAGTAGTGAGAATGACAGTATTCCTTTCCTTTCCTCTGTCCCCTCCCATCATCTAATCCGGTGTGAACTCAAATCTAACAGGGAACATGCTAGAATGTATGCCAGGGGAAGGGGTTCTTCCCTCGAAAATGCCTGAGCTCCAGGATGAGTGTTGGCTTTTGCTCTGCTGCTGCATCCGCTACCGCTCCCGCGCACGCCGCGATGAGCAGGAGGCTCCGGGGGGAGAGGCAGCCCTGCTTCCTGGGTGCGGGCCGGGCGTGCTGCCATGGGGGGCCGCGACACGCCGTGTTCTGAACGGGGCCGCAGCCCGAGGAGGCGGCCGGTGCTCTTCCTGCCCTCTCGAATCCGGAAGCACGTGCGCCTCGAGGACAGACTGGTGCCGGGGGGGTAAAGGAGGATAAGGACACCGACTGAAGGCCCGGGACTGATGCTGAACGAGAGAAGCCCAGGTTTCCATAAAAGTGAACTTACTGAGAAAAGTCACATCCCTGACACTTGTGTTGGGGTGCGTGTGTGTGTGTGTGTGTGTGTTGGTATGAAACTCAATGCAGGAAAAACGCTTTGAAGAAATAGGTAAGCCTTTGTATGGGAGACCCAAACTTAGGAGGGTCTCTTGCCCGGTGAAGGATGGCTTGCCTTGTGCCCAGAGTGAAGATGGAAGAAATCCCGGTCTGCGTGGAGGCCTGGCAGCAAGGAAGACAACTTCTGGCCTCCAGCACACAACACTGCAGGAGAGGTGCACGACTACGCACCAGCCCTCACATACAGTGTAAGTCAGGGTGGGATCACTGGGGTCTGGATTCAGTGGACAACGTGCCTTCCTACACTGTTGACATGAAGCAACCATTTCCCTGCACCCAACCTGAGAGAGCTGCACAATTACCACACTGGACATTGGACCCCCTTGTTCATTTAAATTATAAAAGGGGCCTCACTACAGGGAAATGTCCCACCGCAGAGGCGGAAATGATGCTTGAGGGCAGCAAAATACTCAGAATCTCCCTGGGGCCCCCCGCTTGACCTGAGCCACCCCAGTAGGGCCTCCAAGCTCCACCCCAGGAGGACTTGGCCTGCCAGCCTCCCTCCTCCTTTGCTGAGTGTCCTGCCCTCCTCTGGGAACCGCCTGCCCGCCCTCCACAGACCACATCCAGCAGTGCCTGAGTCCAGGGCAGTCGGCACCACTCAGATGCCCCACAAACTCAGGGAGACCCAACAGGCAGTCCCCGGTGAGTCCTGCTGACAGCCCCCAGCAGCCCGGCCCACCATGCACGGTCCTGAAAAGTACCAAAGGTCTGCAATAAAGCTTGTGTCTCTGCCCATTAATGTGAATTAAACTTTAATGCATTAAATCTTGTGGATTCCTGAGGCATGTCCAACATTAGTTTATGTGTATTTATCAGAAAACAATGAAGATGGAAGATGCAATCTTTCTCCTTAGCAATATCTCTTCCTTTAGGAAGATCGGGCAGACCTTTAAAACATCAAGGCTCATCTGTGAAGTATTCTCCTCCCTCACCTAAAAATCAAAACTAGCTCCAGCTCCCAGTTTATAGGAAATAGGAGCTGAAAGGAACGTGCTGAAAAGACACCAGGAGCTAAGACCAGTCAAGTGTGGGATGAGAAGACACCCTGGCTCCTTCCAGGGGCCAGGCGGCCTCGGCTTCTATTCTAGACACGTCGTCAATCCCAGCATCCGGATCTGAACAAAGTACTGTGAAAAGGTATTTTCTGAGACCACCGGTAAACCCTAAACCATGACATGATGTTTGGGAATTCATTTTGTTGAGTGTGATAATGGGATTCTATCTGTTAGAAATACATGCTGTAGTATTTATGGGAAAATGCTGTGGCATCCAGGGTTTGTTTTAAATTCTCCAGAAAATGAGGGTTGGGGAGGGGGCTGATAAGATGGGTATGGTCTGAAAGCACAAGGTTTCGAAGGCTGGAGAGAGGCATGGGGGCTCCCTACACACATTAAGGTCTCTCTTTTTTCATCTGTGCGTGAATTTTTTCATGGTATTTTCTTTTTTTTTTTTTTAAAGATTTTATTTATTTATTTGACAAGAGACACAGCGAGAGCAGGAACACAAGCAGGGGGAGTGGGAGAGGGAGGAGCAGGCTTCCCGCCGAGCAGGAAGCCCGATGCGGGGCTCGATCCCAGGATCCTGGGATCATGACCTGAGCCGAAGGCAGACGCTTAACGACTGAGCCACCCAGGCGCCCCTTCATGGTATTTTCAAAAGATGCCAAGAATAGAAATAAGT